GGGCATCGATACGTCTGCTATGACAAAGTTCCAGCGGTATGAAGCGCCACGTCCAAAATCTAGGGACAATTTCCGTTTGCCATATGTCTTAATATCTGATTTGTTTGCTGCTCTTAACACTAATGACGGATTAATGTTTTTTCTTTCCTCGTTAAATGGAGGTACTACGCTAATTTCCGCTCCAGTGTCAACTAAGAATTATGCGCCAGTGGTTCGGTCTTGTATATAAAAGAGGCGACTATTTTCAGGCATTATGTGTGTTGATGCCGTTGCCATTGATACTCGTGAGTATCGGTTACTAGCCCTGTTAAATCTACAAGGTTGTAGGCACTTTCTAGCCCTGTAGCCGAACATTTGATGATACCAACATATCGCGGGAGTTGTGCGTCGTCTAGAAGTTGACCGGGTCCTTTCACGCGAGCGATCTCGCGATGACCTTCGTGGTTTTTCTCTCTGCGTTAATTCTGTGAGTTTGCGGCATAAAACATTTATTTCCTTCTGTAGAGTATCAAGTCTATCATCTACTGTCACGTTGTGTAGTGGAGGGCTTGCTTGCTTGCTTCTTTCGTATATTCTATCGGCTATCTTTGCTATATTGTCTAAATCAGCATCCGTATCTCCCACAGCTAGGATTTGCTGTATATTTGCCGGGAGCCGGCGGAGCCACAGCTGATAAAAGAGATTATTGTCAATGTGTCTATCGCCAAGTAGACTTTTCATATAATTTTTTAGCTGTGATGGGGTTCTATCTCCAATTTGTACTTGGCTAAGGAGTTGTTCGACGGCTTGTTGGTCACTGAGAGAGAGAGTTTTAATTACTGCCTCTTTTAGCACGTCGTATGGTTTCTCTGTGTCTGGTTTTGCTAGTGCCTCTCGAACGCTGTCAGCTACTTCGTCTGGGAGTAGTGTGCTTGTCAGGCCGAACTTATCCTTTTGCAAAAAAATGCGGTTAGCGAGAAAATAATTTTCAAGTCTTATAAACCAGAGTTTTGGGTCTGTGATTTTAAAAGAAGGGGCAGGGAGGTTAAGAGACCTCACGGACGAGGCTTGCTGTACGCTTGAAACTGTGTTTTCATAAGACATGCTTATAAAAATTAAGTAGCACACGAAAATAACTTAACAGTCACAAGGAAAAATAGGTAGGCAAAACAATGATAATAAAAAAATGGCACAATTTATAAAATGGAACAGACTTACTAAATTGCACCAATATATCAATTGTTTATGGATAATTGTTATTTATTATGATTATAATCGTCACGTTTAATAATGTTTGCGAAATAATGTAAGTGTAATTAGAATAATAATATAAATCCACAGTTGCAATTATAGTTCATTTGATAATCCAAATTGAGATGAAAAGAATCGGATTTTTGGGATTTGATTATTTCGCCAAAATTCGCTTCCCGTTCTCACGTCGGGATTACCAATTCTGTAGTGGCTGTGCTTCTATAATTAATCACCCTCGAACCGTTATCGTATAATCTTCAACGATGTTTGAAATCAGAAGGCAAAGAGAAGCAGCTACTACAGTTTATTTAGTAGATAATTCGGACCAGACAGCAGAGAGGCAAAATGAATGAGCAAGCGAACTACGATTGTAGTAGTAGCAAGTAGTTGTAGTAGTAGTTGTAGTAGTTAATGGGTGCAAATGTACACATATATATATGTATAGGAAAATGGATGAGTCAGCGAATAGATTAAGCAGTTAATAATGAAGCTAGCAGAATGAATACATGCGTAGGCGCTAAACAATGTTCAAGCGTATGTATTTCATACAAGCATAATAATAAAGATAGTACAACAAGTTGTTATATCATGGATGACTTTGTCCACTAAATAAGTTAACAAAAAGGGCTTAACTGGGTTAAATGAAAATAAACCCATTAGCACGTGAGTCGCTATAATATAGTAGCAGTTTAAGATGAGTCTCGTAGACTGAACCCAAGTTAGTAACCTAAGATGGTAAGTCATCAAATAGATATACAACTTGAGAATAATTTCCACAAAGAACCATTAAATATGTCTTTTCTATATCAAGACTTATTAGATACACACATTAATAGCCGAACGAGAAGCTCTCAAGTTTTTCTGAGGCAACGATACCGACTAGTCAATGACTAGATATTGAGCACTACATATTTCCACATTTAGTCAGATGCTGATGCAGTACGACCACCGTCCAATGGCGTCAATGAGTTACCACCAAACTACTGACTTTGTAGACTCCTCTGTATACGGCTTTTCATAAAAATGTGTGAAATCCATCTAAAATCTAGTAACGAGCCATTAACCAATACATCTCATTTTTTTCACAGAATATAAATGTTCATTTGCTGACTCGCGTTACCTATAGGTGTTGATGATATTCATAATGTTAACAACTTGAAGCTTGGTGAGTTTAAAAATCGTAGACAAGACGAGGTGGTTGACACTTGCCTGTCAATCTTTTCATAGAACATTGCAGACTTATCAAATGACAGTTAATTTTACAATTTTAAAGATGTAACTTTCTAGATCGTTGGAGACTATTACTTCCCAACTCAATACTCGCGGTTGAAAATTGTCTTTTTTATTGATTGCACCCTTTAGTAAGACATATACGAAGTATAAAGGATACATTATTTTTTGTGCGACTATAAATCGAATAGGTTGTAAAAGTAATATACCTAATCACCGAGGCATTAAATTATTACGTCGTATCAAAGATCACCCGCTTTTTAGCATTATACTTCACTAATACGACGTCCCAAAGCATGTTTTAGGAAATAAAAATGGCCATAAATCTCAATAATACAAGTGATAGACATGACTCTAGCATGATTATTATTAACGAACACTACTACATAGTTAACAGGTCAAATAAAGTGATTTTGTCGAGGATATATAATCTTAAGTTGAAGCTTATGTATGAGATGTAAAGTAAACTCATTTTATCTTGCAATGTTTCTTGTTCTCAACCTATTTAGGGACATTAAGTAAGCATGAATTGTTGTTAAACATAAAGTGACCTACATCTGGATTTATTCTCTTTGTGCCACTTGTACTACTTGTGAGTAGCATAAACAGCCCAAGTGAAAACCTTCACAAAAGAATGCAGGCATCGTAGACTGAGAAGACAAATCAAATAACGTTAAGAAAGTTGCGAGAGTCAAATTAAACATAGATTCGTCAAAATCTAAATTAATTGCAAAATTCAAAGAATTTAACCTGAGAATATGTTTCTCTGGGGATGAGGTATCGTTGTATGACATTATATAGATTAAAGTACGTTACTAGTTATATAATATGTCATTTGCACAGTATTTGATTTTGCAAGTAAATCTTTTTCAAAACGTAATTATTGCCCTCAGGTACATTCCAAGTCATAAACTCAGTTAATATTAACAGATTACATAGTAATATATTAAAAAATTTTCAAAATTTATTTATAAACAAATAGAAAATAATAGGGAGTTGTTTGACGCAGTATCTCTTAAGAATAAATAAACATCAAATAACAAAGGATATGATTTCAATTTCATTAAAATAACAGTTTGACAGCCTATGCTACATGATTCAACGAATAAAAAATCTTTATGTACGGTATATGAAACTGAGAATTTTACAAGAAAAGTACTAATTCATGTTAAGATCTGAGCAATAGTTAAGCTTATAAATCTTTTCATCATTTATGTATAAAATAAATTGATTTTTCACTTTGAATTATTGTCTGTCTCTAAAAATGAGACACTTTTGTCATATTTTCAGTGAAATAATATGAAACATAAGTTTACTTTAATAAAGCATCCAACAAATTAATTAACCCTATTAAACTTGTCCCATCCGATAGGGATAATATATCTGTTTTTAAAGTTATATATTTCATTTGGATTTCATTGGTAAAAAACTAGGCTTGAGATAGCAGTGAACAGCTCAAATTTATGGTAGTCGTCCTTCATCTTTTAAAAAAATCAGTACCCATTCTTAATGAAGCCATATGGATGATAACAAAAAGATATTACAGGAATATGTCAGCTTATCTTCAATTTAAAGTGTATATATATATATATATATATATATATATATATATATATATATATATATATATATATATATATATATATATATATATATATATATATTATAAGCTTTATTCAATATTATATTTTTGGTACAATATAGAATTCTCAGCGTAAAGTATTTCAACAAGTTTCCGTTTCTTACTTCTTGGTCGATCCTGACGATAAATATTGAGTGATCGCCAGTTAGGTGTTAGCAGTCCAGTAAATGAACATCTGAATAATGTATATTCTTTTCTCTGCATATTGCCAGCGACGACATTATCTCTTATTGGGCTTTTTGTAACTTTGACAACGAAAGGTTGTACACTTTACAGAAATGCACCAGGATAGGTTATACGATTAATAGACATAATGGTATATTAAAACAAACAAAAATAGATAACTTGTTGAAATATCTAGATGGCAGGAACAGGTAGCCCAGATGCTCAAGCAGGCCGCCTATATATATATATATTGTCTATGAAAACATCTCTCAATAAACTGGTGCTAGTATAAAACAAATAAGTAAAATTTTCTTCATTTTGTCAACTTTAAATGTTACAAGCAAGAATTTTCAAAGTTATTTACAAGTATATTATTTAAATTCAACAATGTTGCTATGACACATTTGATTAAGATAATCAAAATCATTTTAAAACCTTTTTCATTTATCTAATAATAAAGACAATAAACATTAAAATTCTACTTTTAAATTATAATAAAATAATAGTAGTATTTCACAAATTGATTTTAAAAAATGATAACCGATGTAATTGAATTTAAAAAAAAAACTTTTTCAATCTAATTTATTTAATAAATAATCTTCAATTAAACTTGTGAAACTTTTAAAAATATTGAATAAATTACAATATACCGACATAGAAAATTGTAACTCTAAAGGAAACTTTTAAAAATATAAAGATAATCTGTAAACTGTTAAGTACAGTTAAGAAGGTACTAATGAACCTTATATATAAGATATATATTTATATATTCAACAGATTTAATGTCATTATAGCTGCTTTGAATTCATAAAAATTTACAAAAAAAAATATGATTAAAATTTTTTTCTAAAACTACCCAGAACTCACTTTACTGATAACAATGATACTTTCACTATGAATGTAGGCGGGAGACTATAGTATGAAGAAAGAATGAAAGTAGTTTCTTTTTTTTTACTCAATAATCTTTGAAGGATATTAAGAAAAAAAACAGTAGAGATTTTGAATGAAATCAAAATTAATAAAAAGGCCTATTTTTTTTTCTTTTACATTTCAAGTTATACTATAGTTTCCATGAATAATTTAGTCGACGCCATTAGATTTTAAGTCTAAATCAGATAAGTTTATTCGAAATTTGAAAGAAAAAGAAAGAAAGAATTTACTTACTCAGGACGCCAGATATTATCTAATAGTTAAAAAGAATTTCTTTATTTCTTCAATCTTCTATCTTTCAATATTTGTGGATTATTGCATGAATAGTTTTGATAATATAAACAACAATAAATAAATAAATAATTTAAATAACTTATTTACATTCTTAGAATAAGTTTTTCTAATAGACTGATAAACTATTCATATAAGAATATGAAAATGTGTATATTTTAACATGATATTGTTAGGATGTATTATTGAAATCTCTAAAGGTTACTGCATGTATTCATAGTAGTTTATAGTTATTGTGTAAGGGGAATATGTTATATAACGGATGAGTTTCAATAACTACAATCCAAATATATTAAATTTATCATTTTAAAAATTTATTTTAAAACTCAGTAAAAACTGATTGTAAACTAGATTGAAAGTTAATTCAAGTTTAAAATAAAGTTGAACAGTTTAAGTATTACATTTATTGGTTTGTAAATGACTTAAGAAATCCTATCTTGAAATCGCCTGTTTTAAATAACTTTTAATTGCGTTCAATTTCATTATATATCTTGTATATAAGTGTATCATTTTACCAGAGAATAAGGTTCTATCCTTTTGATTAAAAATATTTCATCACTCTATTAGTTCATCAGACAGTTTGAGCTGTTAGTTTAGATACGTGAATAACAAACACCAGTCGATCACATTGTATAATTCCGTGTCACCTTTAAATTAACATTTAGCTCACAATATATCCAAAATAATTATAACACATAAACTTAAAAGGCCACAAGAACTAAATAAATTCCACTTGTTAATAATATCTAACTTCCTAATGAATGACATTTATCCAATTTATTTAATCTCTCAGATATAGATTTTAATTCTTTGGAATTAGTACAGAGTAATCAACATACAACAAGTAACACTAATACATTGTATTAATTATTTATCAGGTTTCTGTATGAATAATTCTCATTGACATAAGATTATTCAAGACTAAAGTGATTGTTGCTGTTTATTGTATTACTCTATAATATTGATTAGCACAGCAGAAAGATGAACCAATAGAAAATTGTCAATAACAACAAGTAGGTAATCTATACTTAAAATTTTGCAATAAATATCATTCAATAGTTGAGATCATGAGTCAATTCAAGCTAGACCATCATGGAAAACCTGGAAGCAGTGGATGGTCGTTTTATCAAAAATAAAAATAATTTGTTTCAAAAGTGAATGAAATAAAATAGTTATGATATGTAAGTCATGAAGTATTTTTCTTTTAAAGAAAAATCAAGCTAGTCATCTGTTCAACGATTAGATGAAAATATTTCAAGAAACTTGTATCCAGTAAAATCAATGGGAAAATTCTAAACATGAATTTATAACTATTACAATGAAGTATACATGTAGAGATTTACACTCTGAATAACGATAGGGTTTAAGGGAAGTTGGTAATATAATAATAGCACTAATAATAATGATAATAATAATAATAATAATCCATTTACAATGATTAGATTATTTTCACTTATTTTTTTAAAAGTACATGCATACTGCTCATTTAAAAACCATAATTTTTTAATGGGAAAAAATAATAAAATACAACAGAATTGAATTAATCTACAAACTAGACACTGAATTTTTATCAAATTGTAATATCAACCGACCAAAGGGTGGTCCTAAATGTGATATATATGTATAAGTATTTTTTAAATATTAATACGCGAATTAGCCTTTATAAAAAAAACCATTCATATGAATGAACAAATTATATATATATATATATATATATATATATATATATATATATATATATATATATATATATATATATATATATATATAATAATGTGCCATCGAACAATAAGCTATCAACATTTCCTATGACAACCTATATTCATGATAAAAAATTTGACGCATATTGTCGCCAATATCTCCTTTCAGGTAATACTAGATAACCGACCAAAAAAATGAGCGGCGCCTGATTAGATGTATCAGTTATAAACAATAGAAATAAATATACATTTATCCATTTACAAAGTGATAGCCATCATACAAGTAATCCAGTATGTTATAATGCAAACCTAGACAGAGATTCACGCCAATCTTTAAACCGGAAAATAGATTAAATAATTACTTCATGCACCTGTCTACTCTCTCTCTCGAAATACATATATATAAAGATAATATGAAGTATTTAGAGGAAGAAAAATAGAGAAGGAAGCAACTAAAAGCCATTATGACGACCACCCAAATGAGAGACCAAAAATTGATCTAATCTCCTAATTTGCAATCAGACCACAATGAAAAATGACATGGAAAAGTCAATTTCAAAATGAATTTCCAATGATAATTACACTAATAATGAATAATGTCATAAACTGATGAGATAATTTTTAAAAAATCATAATTTTGATTGAAAGTGAAATGATAACAATAACCTTTGATGAACCAACTATTACATGAATTGTACGAGATATAACTCAGTTATTTAAAAAAACTAGGTATTTCTAACATTTTTTTAAGAAAATAGCTTCTTCCATAAGCAAATATTAAATAAGAATGCATAGAAACTGTCCGTAAGATTCCGAATATTTATTTGTTTTAATACTATCAACAGTAATCAGAATTATATGTTAATGTTCATGACTGTTTAATAAAAAAAAGCATAGGGTTCATACTTTCTTGAATAAAACCAATAATTTTTAAATTTACATCATAAACCCTCTTGACAACTGCAACAATATTTTATCAGTCAATCTTGTTAAAATATATTTTAATAAGATATCTATATGGCACGTTATCAATGATATACTGTATTAAACATGATTGATTTTTAGCAAAATAAGACCATTACCAGTGATTTATGAAGGGATATCTTCTGTGCAAATTATATATATATATATATATATATATATATATATATGAGTAATAATTTAAGTTCCTTTCACCCCATGGTTTACGTTAATTTTGGAACTAAACAATAGCTAATTCCCACGACATAAACTTGGTAAAATAACTTTGCAAACAGTCCACAAGTATTATTTTAAATAAATAGAATTTATACTTTATTAATATCTCAATTATTCAAGACTGTCACAAGCCATTTAAACTGAAAACTGATTGATTAAGCAAGAAATTCACACAAATGAATGAAGTTTAAAATCCAGATTTTCATCTGATGATTGAAAGATATCTTTTTGGTTCAAGTGAGAAGGGCCTATGCAATCCTGTGATATGTATGACTTTTCATAATCGAATAGGTACTGAAATTTTATTTTAAACTATTGAATTAGTAAACGAAATGGACGACGAGCAACACAAATCACCATTTTACACAAGTTTTCCTCAAACAGCTTTGCTATACGCACTTCGTATAAAAATAGGGGCATGAGTTAGCAGATGTATTCACCGCAGTCACGGATATTGAGCCCATTAACAAACAAGTGGCAATTATTTCCTGTGAAATAAGTGAAACCAAGTGATGACACAGCTTATCTAAGCATCACACCACCGAATAGTGTGGGCACTTCATTACAGTACCAACCAACTAATCTTACTTCTTTGCATAACCGCCCCAACATCAGGAGAAAACTCAATGTGTTGAGCTGAAACTAATCAAATCACTTGATAGAAACAGTCTCAGCTACTAATATGTAACAAATCGACACTTATTTCAGCTACATACCTGATCAGTCAGTACCAGTGTATGGCCTGACAGAAAAACATTTCACTATCATCAGTATGTAGTTGTGCAGATTGTTGAATTTTACTGAGATCATGAAAAGACCCAAGTTAAATAACTGATCCAATCAGGGAATACTGGTCAACTGTTTTATCCTAGTATGAGACCCCTCAGCAGTGTGCATCCAAGATCCCGCACGCGGGAATCGAACAAAAGACCTTCAGTTTCATAATGCTGAGTCACGGAACGCCCATAAACTGCTTCCCGATTTCTAATGATGGTCTCACTTAGATCTGTTTATGATTTCAATGAAATTCCATTAAATTTTTGCGAACACACGAGGACTGAGTGGATCAAGACTATTCCCAACAAAACTAGGATCTTCACTATCAAGGACAGAAAAACGGATGGTAATCGCAACCAGTTATTATGAAAAAGTCCAAGTATGAAGATTGTCTATAATGATCATTTACGATAGTGGAATTCATTTATTGCATATCATTGAGTAGCTTTCACTGCCATATACAATGTAGATAATATTAAGACATCATAATCACAACCCAGGATGATTATGTAGGCCAGTAAAAGACTAACTGGCAAAATATGCTTTTGATATAATGTCCATGAACATAAGATAAATGGACAAAACTTCGTACGTATATAAATCAACGCATTACGAGTAGAAGCATCACATATTGACGGCGTGACTAACGTCGCATAATTCAAATTATTAGTAAAACAACTCTGATTCCAAGATACAAGATTACACTAGCTAATCTACGACGAAATATAACTAACAAGACGAATATTTAACATTTTTATGTATTCATGAGACCTTTGCTCAACCACAATGAAAGAAATTCTTTCTTGGCTTAGATTAGACCCTGTAAACTGAATTCCTTTTGTTTATAAGTAAAAGCCCGATTCTACTTTGAAATGGGGGTAACCATGAAAGAACGTCCTGCTAAAAGCTCGGCGTTGATAGAACAGGCAGCATAAGTATACACCTTAAAATACTTGTACTCTAAGTATCTTCCAATCCAGTCACAAGAGAAAATAACTAAACACGACAGTTATTTTCTACACAAGCAGATGACCAAAATGCTTGTACTGAATATTAATGACCACATCCATCGGACATTATTTCCGACCTAGCCTACAAGTTGTGGAATATACTTTGAGCCGACTAGTTATGGCTATAACTTGACACAGTCAGTCAGTAACAACGTAGAACTTCGTACGTACGTACATCAGTTCGAGTTGCCACACCACCTTAACACAGAGATGCAGTTGTCGATTCAAATCCCGTAGTGGTAGAGGTAGCAAGAGTATAAGCAGTAATCGGGAAGATTAGGGTTTGGAGATGTTATTTAAAGAGTACAATCCAGTGAAAGAAATTTGGAAAGAGGGAAAAAGGGACATGAAGAATTCAGATTAGAATTTGGGAGAACACAAAGAGTGGATGCACCTGCGCCATTGCAAACGATTTTGAGCCATGTCATTCAGGGTCTCTAACCATCGGTTGCTATCGTCTCTCAGATCCCAACCAGGTAGTCTACACCTACCAACATGACTCAGTCCACTTGTCAGTGACTTCATGGACTTGTGCCATGTTTTGGTTTGGCCACCCCTAGCTTTCTTCCAACCTACTCCTATACCACTGAACATAGCACGTCGAGGCAGTCGGTCGTTGGGCATACGTAACACGTGTCCCAGCCATCTCAACTGATGAAGTTTCACTACTTCATCAATTGGTTTTCCATCCTTACCTAGCACCCGTTTCCTAACAACTGTGTTACTTACTCGATGGTCCCAGGATATACGAGCAATGTTTCGAAGACACCTATGATCGAATACTAGTAACCTACGAATATCCTCTACTCTTACCGGCCATGTTTCACTGCCATAAAGTAGGACGGAACAAACTGCTGTGCAGTAAACACGTCCTTTGGTTGATAGACGGATATCTCGCCTACGCCATAAATGACGCAAGTTGGCAAAAGCTAGTCGAGCCTTCTGTATCCGTGCTGAGATTTCGTCACACACCAGACCACAAGGGCTGATGAGACTTCCAAGATAAGTGAAGCGGTCGACACACTCAACTACTTCACTCCCTATCACTAGTTCGGGTGTCGATGTAACCCAATCCTGAAGCAACATTTTGCATTTCGAGGGAGAGAATCTCATCCCGAACATGCTTGCATTGTTGCTTAGAGTGGTCAGAAGACTCTGCATTTTGTCAGCGTCTTCACCAAATAAAACTATGTCATCTGCATATTCTAAGTCAACAAGTGAACCTCCCGGTAGAAGTTCAACCCCTGGAAATTTAGATGAGGAGTGTTATCTCTAAAAGTATGTCGACCACAAAGTTGAACAAGAATGGGGAGAGTGGACAGCCCTGACGAACACCACTTGAGGTAATCAATTCTGATGACAGTTCGCCATAAGCTCTCACTCTACCAGTTGTGTTCGAGTAGAGAGCCTTTATAAGGTTAATGTACTTCTTTGGTACTCCTTTCAGTGACAAACACTGCCATAGAACCTCACGATCAAGAGTCGAATGCCGCCTTAAGGTCGAGAAATACCACCATTGTGGGGCGTCTGAGTGTGTGTGTGTTCTAGAACCTGACGTAGTGTGAATATCTGATCTATACAACCACGTCTAGGTCTAAAACCGGCCTGGTTTTCTCTAATCTGCTCTTCTCGAGCTTTGATTAGGCGTCGAAGTATTATAACCTGACACACTATCCCAACTTTGATTCGCCGAGATATTTAGCAAATAAATGATAATTGTCGATAATAAATGAAAACTAGACACTAAAAAAATCACCTGGTATTTTGCTTAGCCTATAAGTCTATTCTAATATCCATGAATACGCGCAATGTTGCTTAAATCATATTGTGTAATCAATACACTCAGCAAACCCACTCAATAATCTTATCTCTAGAAGAATGTCATAAATGATAACGGATGCAATAAATATCGTATACTTCAATGGGGTTAATTTTACTCGAATTTTTTAGACCTAGACAGGGCCAGTATACGCGGTGCATCTGGTGGGTTGCCTGCACAAAACGCCTGACATGTTTTGGAATAATGTAAGACTGGTATTCAGAAATATAAACCGGTCAGCTAAGTCGGCCAAATGCCAGGACTAGAGTATCTCTACGCACTCCCCAGTTATTCCTAGACCTAATAATGAAAGACAAACCAACATACCTTAGAAGGGAGCAACCTGGCACTTCGGCTTGATTGTCCGTCAGGTTAACTTGGGAATATCGGTAGCAATCGCGAAACCTATCGATTACTGTCCAAAAATAACATTCCCAAAGGCCATAATACAATTAATAAGCCACCAGAAAACAAGCGACTAAATCCCTTAACAAAATGAGAAGGGGATATCAAGTTCAAAGTCTTTACAACTAGCAGTAACTCCCTATGAACCTAAGAATGAATGACACCAGGAAACGGTCACTAACAAACATTTCCTACAAAGTAACTGAGACTAGTAGATACATACGAGTGCTCACCCATGAAAAACCAGAAGTCATGTTCCGAGGTTAGCTATATTTTATTCAATTAGCTACAATAGCTTCTTTGCCAGATACATAAATACCATCAAGGAATTTACGAATATCCTTGTGTCGGACCTTGCAGGACTGTTGAATGAGGGCAGCTAAAAAAGGATTACTTACAAAAGCTTGAAACTTACCACATTTTGCGACTTTTTCAATATCATTGCCCTCAACCTGAATTTCATCTTTCACTCCAGTGGCGGAGATTTTCACACCTGGTTCCATAGGTACAAGCTTGTTGGCTTTTTCTCCTAAAAAGTTGCGGATCTCCAATTTGGAACCATCGTTGGATGGAATCATGTTGATGGGGAAGTGGGCATAAACGGATTTCAATTTATAACGATATCCAGATGTAACACCTTTTATCATATTTCCAATATGGGAACAAACTGTTCGAACAGCAGCCAGCTCTTTTCTGTTGCCGAAATACTTCGTTACAACAACCTTTTTTGAGAAAACTTTGATGTCTAGGGATAAATGACCGAAGTCGCGTTTCAGTGACCCACGAGGACCTTTGACGTAAACCACTCTTTTAATGGCCTTTACTTTTATGCCTGGAGGCACCTTAACAGTTTCAGACGATTTTATAATTTTCATTATGTATAAATACTGGAGAGAATGAATGTAACACACAAGGAATACTGGAAGACGTAGTCCGCCTTAAGACACACGCGCAACAACTGCAGCAGCCGCCAAAAGTACCCGGCAATCTTGAAGCGCTACGATTTCAATTGTTTCAAGAAAGACTAACAGCAATAGACAATGTCCATTTTAACCCCTACCACCTTTGAGTTACTTCAATTATAATAAGGGAAAGTTGGTAGGCGATAAAAAGGCCATTAAAATTGTTCAGTCTATCCTTAATTTCAGTGTTCAGTCTTTATTAACTCAATTGACCTGTTTTAGCTTTCGCAATTGTGATGAAAAAACAGAGTCAGACTTTGAGTTTGCTCAACAATTGATTTTGTGAGAATATGTCATGGAAAACAAGTCCATCAAATAAATAGTTTTATAGGTCTTAAACACTGATGATGACTTCATTAATTTTACTGGACACGTTCATGACTGGAAGTTCTTAGTCAAACACCTACACCTGATAAAATCTGGGTAATACTACTCAGATTAGATCCCATCCTCAACCACGAATCGATCACTATTAAGATGTCTTAGAACCCCTTCTGTTTACCCTGGTTTTGGAGATCTTTGTATCCGAAAGTAACGGGTGAGTGTTGTTATGCTCTGTGAACCCGTGTTTATTCGTTCGTGAACCCAATGTGATCTGATACACCAAATGACAAGCTTTGAGCCTGCCTCCTATAGTAGTTTCTTACAAATGTTTTCATATATTGCTACGTTACCTTTGTGTTCTAAAATGTTTCGTATATTGATATATTTCATTTTCATCATATCTGGACAAATATTTAAACTTTTCGACACCATGACTCCTAGGTTGTCATCCGTCAAATAATTATAGTCTGCACTGATAGTATCGAGGCCTTATTTCACCATGCACAAGCTGATTTACGCGAGCCCAGCATGGTCGAATCACTGGTGCAGTTGCATCCGATACTAAAAACACAAATTCGTGAGTTTGACAGATAAGTCACATTCAGAATGTTTGCCAGTGGTGTTTACAAGCTATATGGGACTTTGGAATAGGTCTCCCTGAAACGTGGAAACCTGGCCGATCGATAAATTTCACACAAACCCTGCCATAACATAAAAATACAGTACGGGTAAGGAACAAAAATGTTTCCACGACTGAGAAAAATGATTTGTCAGAGAACCTTGGACGCCGGTCTTTGTAGACAGCTTCAGAAAGTGCAGGTGGTTCTTTTCACTACAAGACACTGCTGTTGATAAACAAGCTGGATATGCCGACTGGACTCTGGGTACCACTAATATCATCGGAGAAAACCCCGATTTGACCAAAACCAGACTAGGGGCATTTGTGCTATTCCCACTCCTCCTCTGGACTTTTAGGACAAGCCTAAACGAACCACATCTAGTCGATGAAGCTCATGGCACAAAAGATCTGTTGCTAAAGCACGAGAAACAGATAATCATAAAAGGCTTTTGTGCTACAACACCAATGGCATGTCATCCGGAAATTGCAGTAAACTATACAGTTTCTCAAATTAAAACCTATTGAATCGACAAACGTTCCGGCACAGGTTCAAGACAATCATAAAAGCAAGACATAGACCCCTGTTATATTCCACAAATGTGGTTATGAATGTCCTCAGTCCCAACAGAGAGGCACAAATGAGCTGTGTTTCCATAATTCCTAACTTTTGTGTGAAGACCCTGTCTTCAATTTAAAATCAGTATATGAAAAGCTTACTACCCCGGGTAATAAAAGGTATGCTTACTCTAATGTGAGTTCATGCAAAATCAATCTACTATATCCTCGTTATTTTAGTCATGTTGGCTTGCCGAACAGCAGCAAACTGTTCATCAACCCGAGCAAACAGAAGTTACCGGACGAAAACATTAAACCAGACCAGATCTGGGTACACAATGGCGCCCATCTTTTACAACTACTACTCAGCTAAGGTTCTGTCCACCACCATAAATCTATCATCATCAAGATGTCCTTGAATCCCTTTATTCTCGACTTCTGTTTAACCTGATTTTGGAGATCTTATTATGAAAATAATTTCCAGAGACAGTTTTGTTAAACTTTGCAAACCTCTGGAATTTTTCGTTATGTTGTTCACTCAAAGATAATGTACCATAGAAAGTGAGAAAAGATATGGTTCGTTAACTTCGAAATAAATATTTAAGATGCAGAATGATAAGATCAGTTAGTATCCTATAGTGGGTCAGACGGGAGACTAAAATGCTTTAATTGGTTATTTTATGTGAGGATGGAGAGATTTGTAATCAGTTTAGTCCCCATGGATTCAGTACGCTTGATCCTAATAATATCTTTACTAAGACCCTTACCAACTGACTGGAGTGAGTAATCTGAGTAGAAATTTATTCTCCAGCCAAATGACCATTAAAGAGGTTCGGAGTCACTTTGTGGTGTCCTCGATTGCTTGGAGGAAGATATGGACTGAATATATTCTCCGGTTATATTCAGATGTTCGATTATCAGAGGAGCTGTCCGAATATGGCTGGCTATCAACCCAAATACACCGCTCCGATAAGGAACACAATACACTTCACACCAAACCTCCATATTTTAGGTCTTCGGAGAAAGAGTTCTGAAACACAAATTAATAACAATATGAAACCGAAAGTTTCCAGAGCAAAATTTATACACACAGCTCCAGCGTTGGATTAAAATAATTATGCTAAAAAAACTGTGAAATCAATGATATTCAATATAACAGTTATTATTCAATTACTTTCAGTTACTCCTGTAGCAGTATGTCTGAGCTATTAATGCGACAGCTGATCTCCTCCAGGACCTGTACTGCATTGTTCAATGCCACATTTGTCACCACATTGATTTTCTTCGCCTAAATATCTACTCTTGAGTCAGTTGATTCGTTTATTACCTCTGAACAGAATCATGTTTTATGTTTGTCAAGATCGCGTTTCTCTTTCGCAAGTAACTATTTTTGGGTTCTTTAACAATTTGTTTATTCGATACATTGGAGATCTACTTGAACACATTATATGGAGTAATTCGTTGGTCAGAAACTAAGTTGCTTGGTGTTTTGTAAGTTGTATACTTGCAGACAGGCTTAAAAAGTCCCATAAATATCACCGAAACGCTTTTGCTCTATTTTGAGGTGATCAAATGCTTCAACATAACTGAAGCCTTGCAGATAAGTAGACTCGAAACCCCAAGAACTGTGTCGTTACACTTAACGATCAGCTCGCTTGAAGTGACCATTAATGTAACACATTTGGTCTCCCCCATAAAATGGTATGCGTCGTGTAACTTATTGTTGTCTGAAAATAATATGTTATTACTAATATAAATAGCCATTTTTTGGCCTCTCGAGTACCAGTATTTCATTAGAATACAGGTTGATTTTAGTAGTATATCATTCCAGACTCCTTATTCCCATGACACGTCCTAACTTTAAACTAACTTCAAATTCACTGGAATTACAATACGAGCACAATTCCCGTTGTGTATACTTACTCATATCTCCTCCGGTAGCTCTTCTAAAATTACTGCCGGCCTCAAGCCATGGTAAACCATTCAAACTCTGGCCTCCAAGTTCAAGGAACAATTATGACGCCTCATTATCAAAGCCCAGATTCTTAGGAACTCACGAGTCCGATGCGCCCTCTAAAAAACAGAACAACAATCAACATAGGTACATGGGATATCAGTACAATATAGGCGATCTGAGGGACCAATCGAAAAGTTGCGGAAATGATGAGATACAACTCGGTAGAAGTCGGAACCAGCGAAACCCATTAGACCTAGGCTGGACGACAAAGGTTAGTTATGAGAGTGCTGCTGCTGTACCGTGGACACGAAGAAGAAAATACTCTACTCACTCGGAGAGGTTCTCAAGGAGATGCTGTCCAAGGAGGCACGAGTCGCACTTATAGGAAGGAAATCTCATGGACCCAGGATCATCAAAGCATCTTTCAAAACAAAGAAGGAGCATTTCACAATGAATGCTATCCAATGTTATGTACAAAGCAATCATAGCAATGACGACGATAAATATGATTTCTACTTGAGGTTGCAATCGATCATATCGAAGTGTGCAGGAAACAACATGACAATTCTGATGGCAGACCTGAACGCCGAAAACCGGAATGGACAACACCGGATATGAAGATAACATGGGATGACATGGACTGACTAGAAGAAAGGAACCAGAATGACGTGATAGGTGGCACAATATTCCGAAACAAAAATATACACACATTTAAATGGGTCTCACCGCATCATACCACGGAGAACCAGATAGATCATATATGTATCACTAAAAAATTCAGAAGGACAAGGGAAGACGTGAGAATCAGGTGAGGAGCTGATATAGCTTCATATCACCACCAGGTTGTGGCCAAGATGAAACTGAAGCTAAATAAACACTTGACAAATGGGGAGATGGCAGTATAAAGGTTCAATACAGCCTCCCTACGAGATCCTACCAAACTCAACCGATTCAAGACAACTCTCAACAACAGGTTCCAAGTCTTACAGGATCAAATGGAAGTAGAGGAAACTACTATAGAGGATAATTGGAAAGCGGTCAAAGAAGCGTTAACATCAACGTGTCAGGAGTTGCTGGGAAGCAACTAGCATCATCATAATGAATGGATTTCCATGGAAATTCTGGCGAAGATTGAAGAAAGGAAAAAGAAAAGCGTAGCAATTAATAACAAACGAACAAGAATAGAATAATTCAAGGCACAAGCTGAATAAAGAGAATCAAACAAACAAATAAGGGGAAGCATTAATGCTGACATGCAGAAATACGTGGAGCACCTAGCAACGACAACGGAAACAGATGCAAGAGAAGGAAATATGAGACAGCTATATGACACAACGAGAAACTAACGGAGAAATACAGTAAACGAGAGAGACCGGTCAAGAACTGAGAAGGCATGACAATCATCGAGATTCATTAACAGAAGAAGAGATGGGTAGAATAATTCGAAGAAATTTAGAATAGACCAGCTCCATTAGATCCACCGGACATCGAAGTAGCAAACGAAGACCTTCATATAGATGTCGCCCGAACAACGACGGGAGATATCAGAATGACCCGCCATCAGACAAATGGAGAACGGGAAGGCAGCAGGACCTGAAAATATACCAGCTGATGCACTGAAGTCACACACAGAAATAACTGCAAACATTCTTCACACTCTGTTCAGGAAGATTTGGGAGGAAAAACTAATGATACTGACAGACCCA